ATATAAAGAAATTAAAAAATAAGACTGTTAATAGTGAGATTAAATTTCATAAGAAAAAGGTATCTAATTAATTTAGGTACCTTTCTTATGAAATTTTATCAGAAGTGTACATAATATACTATAATTTTATGTACATTTGTTACATTTTACTGTGTTATTTGTATTTCCATTCATTTTATTATTAATTTTGATATTTCATTTATGGAAAAATGTCATAACTGAGATTAATATAAAAATAAGATCATATAAATTAAAGTTTAGCAGTAGTTAAATTTCATAAGATGATACTGTTACTTGTAGTTACCTTTCTTAGTTGAAATTGAAAACTCAAATTAACTTCTCCATACGTGTTTCGCAAAAGTAAAGGGCTTAACAGCGGAGAACAATGCTGAACTCAAATAATGCAACTAAATTGTATTCTGGTTGGTCTTCCGTATTTGATAATTACTGTCCAACTATAAACACAAAAATTACATTTCTTAATTACCATGGCTAATCTGATTTGTCCAAATTATACAATTTTCAAAGCGCTAGACAATGACAATCTCACACGGACATTTTGAAAGGTTGATATTTTTTTTAAATTCAATTTAAACATTTTTAAAAAATATTTTTAAAATTAAAGAAATAAGAAATAATTGTATTAAAAATTCAATTTTCATTGAAAAAAATTTTTGCTTTCAGAAAATATTGTCCATATTCATAAAAACAAATTAAAACAAATAAAAGCACGTGAAACTAAATAATATATTAGTTCTATTGAGTTTTGTATGCTACAATTCACAGCTGATTTTCAGGCACGTTGGCCAAAAAAAAAAAAAAAACATGATTTGCATTCTTCAAAGCCTTGTGCTTTTAACTATTGTAATCACTAAAACCGATGGTCTCGAATTTCTAGAGTTTTTTCATAAAATTAGTTATGGGGTGTTAATAAATATAAAAAAAATATTTCTGCCATGACTTTAATAAAAAAAAAAATATTTATAATAATTTCGATCATCTGTGAATAGTTTCTGAAAGTTTCATTAACATCTGACAATTATTTTTATTTTTGCAAGATTTTCCAAATTAATGTGTGTAAATAAAAAAAAAAATGCGCTAAAAATTATCTATGTTATTTACTACCCCTTGTTGCGACAAAGAGAAACAAGGTTTTTTAAATCAAAATTTAGAATATTCTAAAAAGATGGAAAAATTTTTAAAAATAACTAAAAAAAAAATTTAGTCTATCCTCTTCATAAAAAACATAAGCATTTTGACGATAAAATTTTGTTTTCATAAACTTTGGCGTCTTTTTTTCATCAGACTATGCTCTATGATTTAGCGATTCCGTGGAGTGACTTAGGTTAAAAAACCCAGCTTGTTTATGTGTGTGTGTGTGTGTGTGTGTGTGTGTGTGTGTGTGTGTGTGTGTGTGTGTGTGTGTTGTGTTTATATATGGGATCGGATTTTCTTACATTTTTCAGTCGATAAAACAAACATCCACTTTTTTTTTTTCGGCAGGTAGTATTTTTATTGTCTTGCACACTTTTTTTCTTTATTTACATTCAGAATGCTTTAAAAATTCCATTTACAAGACAATTGTTTATAATAAAATTCTATTCACCAATCGATAGACTCATAACGATTGTAAACAATGTTTTTGTTTGAATTTGGGTTTGACCAATTAAAAAAAAAAAAAAAAAAAACTAATTAAGACATGCGTGTCCGTCAACCTTAAACAATAATCTTTGTCAATTTTATTTTTCAGTCTTTATGATGGTCGATACTTGATCTATCTCTTACTCTTACATCCCCGGGCAACGCCGGGCTCTACTGCTAGTTATATATATAAGTGTTATTTTTTTAAGTGTCTCTTTGTCATTGATACACACACATACACACACACACACACACATATATATATATATATATATATATATATATATATATATATATATATATATATATATAAACATTTTTACTTTTGGATGATTTTCTAGACCGGTAGAAAATAAATTTAAGGAGACCGAATAAACATTTATCGTTATCCCAATTTTTTTTCTTTTGTTTTTCTTGAATTCTCTTAAGTATTATTAATATTATTCATATATTTGAAACAAAAATCAAACCATTCTTTTATTTCTATTGTATTTACAAATATATAGACATATGTATTTTACACAAACACAGTCATATATATAATAGAATTTACATTCATTAAAATTATATGCATGTATATATATATATATATATATATATATATATATATATTATTAAATTCATATATATATATATATATATATATATATATATATATATATATATATATATACGTCAGTATTATTAAATCATATATATATATATATATATATATATATATATATATATATACGAACTTATTATTAAATTCATATATATATATATATATATATATATATATGTATGTAAATATGTATCTATATATTTATATACATATATATATAGAGAGAGAGAGAGATAGAGAGTGAGATAGAGAGAGATGTGTATACATATATATATATATATATATATATATATATATATATATATATATATTAAATTTAGCTACAAGGATCATAGTTTTATTAAAAAAGAAACAAAATTATGACGTTTAATAATCACTTACAGTTATAGAGCTGAAAAGAGAGCAGATTGTCAATGTTTTGTATCAGACCCACTGCATTGAGGTATTATGTACATTATTTACATTGTTCGGACTATTGTCTTCATTTTTGTTGCCATATTTATTACAACATTTCGGCCGTTGTACATTCCGGCCTTCTTCAGGTGGTTGAAATGTCGAACTCAAACCTTTATTTCGCTCACTGCGATAGTGTGTTTTAGTTACACGTACCATGTTAATTGGATGTCAGTTATTGGTTATCTTCTGTTAATTTTCCCTTTGAAATTTTTACACTGCTTTAACCCCCTATTGGACTCAAACTATTTGGATCCTTTCACTGTATCTAAATAACGCCTTTATCCACTGTGCCATGTGTCTTTAAGGACGCATGGGACAGTGAATTTAAAATATTATGAACCATATATGTGTGATATTTATATCTTCATTTATTTTAATCTGCGTCGTTTTAATTTTTCCATTTCACATCAAGCAAGGTGATAATGACGCTAAGAAGCAGTGGATTACAGGAAATGAATGCGCAGAAGTGAGGAAAGGACAAAGGAATATGTTTCTGCGAGACAAAAGGTGGTTTTTGATGTTCAGTTAAAGGTTTCGAAGATTGTAGGCAACAAGAAATGAGAAGGGATTTCCACAAGTGAGAAGGATGAGAAAGTGACTAAATTCGAGATGCCAGATCATGACATATAATATTACAAACCCATCTCTGAATTTTGTCAAGAATCTCCAGGTATACTGCATGGGAACTAGGCCAGATATGGCAACAGTATTCAATGCGCAGCCAAATGGTAGGTTTATAAATGTATGTATATTTAACCATTTATTTTGCATCCTGCTCAAACGCGACCTATAAATATTCGCGAGCAAAATCTCATTGTTCGTGGTCAACATCTCACTACGTAAATTCCAGTGTTATTTATGATGATGTTGCCATATATTGTGATAGAATATACATAGAGCGGGTTACAGTGGGTTGAACATTGATAGTGGATAGTCGTACATGATCAGACGCTCCATTTTATGTTTTGTTTTGGGTTTTTTTAAACAGTATTTATTTCCCTCATTCGAGAAAATATAATAAAGAGAGTTTCCCTTTGAGAGCATACGAACCTCCTTTCCTTGTTAAATTCAATATTACCAGCAGTCAAATCCTATCGCATTAGACTTGGCTACATTAAAGTAACCGCAAAAACTTCCTCACGGATCGTTATAGCAAAATATTTAACACAACCAGTAGTTTGAGGGAATCGTTATTGTCAGTTATTATTAGTACGAGTGATATTGTTGGTTGGGAATTTTTGTTTTTTTAATTTTTTTTTATTTTACGAAATATTCCTTCTAGTTTCCATTTATTCCCCTACGGTTGTTATTCAAGAATAAATAGTTTTAATTATGACAATTAACCGCAACCAATATTCATTTTATCAATTTTGGAAACAATTCCATTTATGACATGAAGGTGAATTCGATGGAAAATAATTCAAATAAAATAATTATATATGGAATTAATCTTGCGCCATACTAATTTTATTATAAAAATAATGATATTTGTAATATTTACATAATTTTTCTTTCCAACGTATAGCAAATTAGAATATTTGACTTAGATCGAGTGTAACTAGCTCAGAACTCTCAAGAGTCAATCTTATTGCCTTATCGTCTAATCTAAAACATCATCTGTAATCGGTGAGCAGTGCACTCCATTCGCTGTCAGTTTGATCATTTTACACAGGATAAAAAGTGTAGTGTCTGTAATTTTTATGATGCAGGGCAGTCAGTGATAAACAAGTCAAGGATCGGTAGTAATTTATGCGGAAATATCAGCTCCACTCTGTCTGATGCTTACATCAGGGGGACATTGATTAATGTGCAATTAGGGTGAACAATGGATACGAATACAGTAAAAGAAAAAAATGGACTTTCAATTCAAAGACAATGGTCTGTAGCCAAACGCGACTAGTGAGTAAAGTAAGGTGAAATGCTCATCTGTGTGTTTGTACTTATAGAAACGGAGGTTACTGTATCTATAAGTTTGCAACGCATGCTCTTTTTAATGCTGCTCATCGTATAACCGATACTATTGTATAAGAATCATATGATTAACAGAATTATCCATAATAAGAAAAAATAATAATATTAAAAGTGTAATGAAATAGTAATGATTGCGGGTTATTTAAGAGCATAAATATATCTACAGACTGTAAGAATTCTTTTTAGATAATAATTATTTAGTGATACAAGTCTTATAATTAGCCCATAGCTGGGAATATGTGAGCTGGATTCATGATTGGAATCGGAACTTGCCTTTGCAATTAAGAAGTCAGAGCCATTATCAGTTGCATAAACCGTACACCCAAGCTCACAGCACTTGGAATACCCAAGCGGTCACCCATCTAGGTATTGACCAGGTTCGACGTTGCTTAACATCGGTGATCGTACAGAAGCTGGAGTGTTTCAACGCGATATGGCCATCAGCGGAAATAGTAATGATAGTTTATAATCCAGATCAATGTTTTCGCCAAAGAATTATGAGAAATCGACTGACTTGTAAAATCAGGCTATTTTTCACGTCCATAAACAATTATGTTGTATGGTTGGATGCAGTAAACATAATATTTTCCAGTTATACTCTGTGTGTCTTGGTACAATTACTGGCTGCAATTTCTACTTTTACAATGTCTCATTTTAGAAACGGTAAAGCGTTTGCTAAAATACGTCACAAATAAATGTTGAAACTGCTATGTAACCTTGACATATAAAGAGGTTTATCAAAATAATGGCAGAATACCACATACAAATAGAAAATGAATTCAGTAAATATACAAAATATAGAAAAGGGAGGAAAACAAATATGTTTTTCTGACCAAACTTTTTGAACCTATAGAGTGAAATGATTTGGAGAGAAATAGAAGTCCTACCAGGAATCATTATTGGCAAACTACATTTTTAACCAGATCAGATATGCAAGATGACACAGTGTTAATAGCAGACACTGAAAGAAAACTACAAACACACTACAGAAAGCGGGAAGAAAGAACTAAACCCAATCGCAAGAGACAGAATACATGGTTGTTAGCAAAAGGAACATTCAAATATTCAAATTACAAATTGGAGTTACCAAATTCAAACAAGTACAATAATTTAAATAGAAAGTGTTTTAATAGAGGATAGAAAATGGGAACCGGATATCCGATGACCCATTTGGATAGCGACAGCTGCCTTCCAAATTTTAAGGAGAGTATTAAGAAACAGGAAAATTACGTCAGAATAAAAAAAGAGTACTGAACTGTTATCATTTCTTCCATATAAAAGTGGAAAGTGTATATTCTTAGACGAAGAAACACAAATTTGGCTGTACAAAAAGATGCCTAGAATCCTCATTGATTTCCCCTTTCCTGTCTGCTAGAAGTCATCATCTGTTGTTCCAGTTTTTAAAATATCTGACGAGCCGTCTGACCCTTCCAGCTAACGGAATATTAGTATTTCTTTTTGGGAAAATAATAAAGGCCCTAATCAAGGCCAAATTTGTTCATTTTATTAATCGCAGGGCCTTTTCTCAGAGAAGCAATATAGCTTTCGTCTCTCCATGTCAACTGCTGAAAAACTGACGATAATTAAGGAATTAGTCTATCATTCTCTAGATAAAAACGCAGAAACCTCGAGAGCTTTTGACAGAGTTTGGCATGCATGTCTTCTTCAAAAGCTGAAAGGTTACGATCCAATCTTCCCTCTCAAAACGTGAAATGAACGACCTCACATCTATATCCTTTCGTACTAAGGAGTCTATCCCCACAGGGTTTCGCCCTTGGTATTGATTTTTTTTTAATTTTCATTAATGAACTTCCCGATGGCATCAGATATTAACGTGTTACCTCCACTGATGGCACAGCCATTTATTCTTGTTTCGATAGTAAGGCCCATCAGTCTGCCAAGGTCAAGACTAAATATATCTCCATTCATCATCTGAGCGACCCCTCCTTGCCTTAAATCAGCATGACTGATGCTAACCTTCAGAAAATTGACTCATTACGCCTTTTCGACCTAACGTTGTCATCTGACATGATGTAGAAAAATGATATTGAATTCATTTCTAGGTCAGCTGCTATGAATAACGGTTCACTGCTTCGTGCGAGACAATTTTTTGTTCCAGAATCTGTCATATAAATTTCGTTCATGCTTCGAATATTCCTGCCATATATGGTTTAGTAACCCTGCTATTTACCATGATCTCCTTGCTTAAAATCCAATGAAGGATCAGCAATATTATCGGTCCTTATTTGGTGGCTCTTCTGTCACTTTCCCACGGCGTAAGTTTTCCTCACAATACTTTCTCTAAATACTTTAATGGTAATGGATCGGAAAAGCTCTATGGTACCAAGACGTTTTTGAATTCAAACTACTCATTAAATTATATTTCAGCTGGCTAAATTTAGACGTAAACTCTAAGCTAACAGTTTCTTTTCTCGGTTGTGGAGCACCTTTCCAGGTCCATGCATCGAAGGTAACTTTAATCCACAAAAATTTAAATACAACATCAGTCTCAATCTACTGATATATTGATTACTTTTTTCGCTTCCTTCTCATTATTAATGTTCCTGTTTTTACTTCCTCCACGATCAGTAATCCCTTATTTTTCAGTGACTTTTTCTGCATTTCTTGTGGTGAAACAAACTCAAAAGAGACCATGGGAAGCAGACGTGATCAATTTTTGAGAGAATGAAAACAGAGAAAACCCTTGTACTTAATTACTGAAAAAATAAGTTGAAATGTTTGGGCACATAATGAGAAAAGATGTTTGGAAAACTTGATACGCTTATGACAGAAAAATGGCAAGCGTGCAGAGTGAAAAAAAACATAACTTACAGAGCGAGCTTAAATAAACCAATGACAGTGTTTATGGGTGATAGCAAAAAGACAAAATTAATAAATCTGTCTCTTAATAGAGCTGCAAAGGAGAGGGGCAATTGTGGAGAGACATGATCACTAACATCTTTACGGGATGCGGAACATAGAAGAAGAATTTTTTTGTTGTTTCAAGTAACGTTCTCCAGAGGAGTAAATGAAAAATGTGATCTCACACAACCTTCTCTCGTTTGACGCACCACAATTATTTACCACGTCTCCGCACATTAAAATTGGGACCATTCCAATGCTTTTTATACTCCGTTGATTACAAGCTCTCCATCTCCGAATTGGCCACTCATGACACTGCTTTTTTTGTTCATTAGGTAGATTGCCATATAAACTTATGTTGCTTTTCTTCGATGTTTTTACAATATTTTGGGGCCACCGTGCATTCTTCAAATAAAAAAAATCCGAAAATGAGATTCTTTTGTATTCTTTTAAGTAAAGGATAAGATTTTCAGTAGCTGCCGTCTTTTTGCTTTTCTTTTTATGTCTTTCTCCAGGCTTCTCTTACTACCAAAACTTCAAATTTGAATTCGTCTCTGAACAAACTTTTCCTAATTATAAATATTTTTATATGAAACATTATATTTTGTTCTTCACAATTAAGCTCTCATTAGACAATTTGTGATTATCAAAAGGGCTAGAGATTTGATTCACGACAAGTCATGAAAAAATTCATTCGATTTTGCAATGACATGCTACATCATCTCCTTTCTACATTTGAAAAAAAAACCCTCAGTTTTCAACGCGTCAATTGTCAAAAACACACTTGTACACTACATAAAATTTATGTCGAGCCAAAAAGACACAAAATGGTGAAAATTATAACGTGGCTGACTCAATCTCCTGGCCTCATTCATTTTGTAACTTTAATATCTGATATAGGAAAGTTTGAAGAGAATACCACAAAGTGAGAGTGTAAACTTTTTCAATGCTTTCATCCCCTTTTAATCATAAACTTTTGAAATGAATATCCAGAATTTATAAATCCGTAATTATGGAAGGTGGTGGTTTTATTTAGGAAGACAAAACATAATGCTGTTGTATGATAAGTCTTTATAGTTAAGTACTTATTTTTGACAATATAAAAGCTACTTACTGTAATGCTATTTTTTTACTTTACAAAAATATCGCATTTACACCCTTTTTAAAGAAATGCAAGCTGGCCCAAAACACTTTGCCTGTAGTGTATATATATATATATATATATATATATATACAGGATTCCCCAGTTATCGGAGGAAATTTGTACGAATTTAGTAAAAGTCATTACACAAGTGCTTTATTTGATTTACAGGAATAATATTGCATTTGTTTAATGAATCAGCGGCTAGTGACGATGAGGTCTGAAACGTAGACATGACCAAATAAGATTATCTCTATCTAATTTGGACATTGTATTATATAAGGCAGACTAAAAGACTTTATCGTGACGATTGTAGCCCATCTATTGCGAGGTCTTACCTTATACGAAACAGTCTTTTCCCATTCTTTAAGGTCTCACAACCTGACCCAAAGTTTCCTTTTAATCAGTAGGATTGACATAATCCCCGGGGAAAAAAACTGATTCACGACAAACAGAACCATTAAAGTTGTCGGAGAATTTGTATGTGACACTATTTAGCGGTCGCGTGAAAATGAAAAGCGAGAAATAATTAAGACGAGAAGCTGAAATAATGAAGGCGATAAGAAGCTATCACGACATACTGAGCGATGTTATTTTTGTTTAACAAAGAAAAGTGGTAAAGGTTTTATTTTCCTTTGCGAAAAGAAAAAGTATGTTTTTCTTTTGCCGAAGATAGGAAATTCGTAAGATCTCGGATCTGTCGAATTAATTTATGTTACGAGGCGGCGAATAAGAGATAGCCACGTGCTCATCGCAATAATGACAATTTCAAATTGGTCAAGTGGCCCCTACGAAACAGAAGAAGAATATTAATCAGGTCACGCACTGACCGAGAAAAACATCGGCTGGGCTACCCAAGAGAGAGAGGGAAAGAATAAACCATTAACTATCTTTCGGAGATGTCATTGGATTTGGGAAAAACACTTGTTTTATTGTCCAGACCTGAACATGATAAAAGTTTGATACCGAGAGAGATAATTAGCAATACGTCCAGTTAAACACCCATTTGACACTGGCGGAAATCTCGATTGATAAAATCCAGCCGACATTCGGTTAAGATAGAGATTAAGGACCACACTGCGAGTCGTAGGGGTCTAGTGAAAAAAGAAAAAGAAGAAAAGAAAAAAAGGAAGATAATTTTTTTTTCCTTTGAGCGAAATTTTTAAACTGAGGCCAGTCTAGCCACTGCTGTGCGTTCATTGGCTGAATGTTGGCGTCAGCGGTTGGCGAAGGTAAACTATGAGAAAGAAGGTAGGCCTGTTCATGCCTCTGAGGGGATTGGTGTAAGATGCCACTATGAGAAAGAAGGGAAACCTATTGAAGCCCTCTGAGGGGGTTGGTGTGAGAAAGGAAGAATTTGGGAGGAACATACCCTTAAGAACCCGTCTGAAGCTAAAAAGCAATGGACTACCAAAAATGGAAAGTGATAAATTTTCCTGT